AACGTGAGGAGAAAAACGGAAAGAAAAAGAAAGAAGGAAGGGAATAGGGAGAAAATGGTAGGAGGAAGAAAAACCGGGAAAAAGGAAGAAAAAACACAAGACACAACATCAAGAAAACCCCGATAACACACACAATTGAAACCCCATCAAACAATCCCATCAAAACACCCCAACCGCACTCCCATCGAACCAAAACCCCCCCATAAACCCACCCTCTAAACCCGCATGTCTACCAGGTAGGGTGCATCCGCCCACGGAGCATCCCATCCCATCTCCTCCTCAACTTCCTCCCGCTCCACCAAAACAGCCTCTGGACCTCTCATCATCGACGCTGCGCGTAACAAGATCACACGCGCCTGAGCCCGCTGCAAAGCCACACCCACGGCCGCTTTGAGTGAACCAAGCAAATAAGCCGAGAAACCCTTTCCCGTAGCTCGCGCCGCCCCTTTCGTCTTTGCTATCTCGATCTGCGCGTCACCCTGCTTCTTAAGCCACCGTCCAAAACCCCCCCAAGCATCCCCATGTCTCAGCAATGAGAGGTGTGAACTGCACTCCCTTATGCCGCTGTAGAAGCGATTTGTAGTCCGCCGCCTTCCGCTTTTCTCTCTCTCTCTCGCGGCAAAACCCACCTTGCGCCCAATCTGTCCATGGTGCTGCGCGGATAGCGAGATAGGGTCTACCACACTAACCTCCAACGCGTGCTCCTCCCCCTCCCTCAGTTTCCGAACCGCCACATCAACCCTCTTCCCTGGGAGCAACGTGTCATCTTCCATGGTCACAATCCCGCCCGCACCTTTAGCTATCTTCGCCACCACAAACTTAACCGCATCGTGAACACGAGAAGGTGCATACTGATACTTGCAGCGAAGGCCATGATGCGGGTCAGAGGGATCAGCAAACTCAAACCCACACGCGCACTTGCCGGCCACTATCAGCTGCTGTATAGGGAGGCCTAAGCGCATGGACGCGCAGATGCTCCACTCGGCCGCGGTGAAGGTAGCCTCCTCGTGCGAAGGAACGGCAGAAACCCACGCCCCAGCCCCCGAGCCCTGAAGGGATGTCAAACGGGCCAAGGTGGCATCATTGTGGGCCATGCCTCGAAGAGATTGAAGGCCCTCAACCGCTAGGCGACGGTGTTGTGTGGAGAAGAGCAGCACAGGGGGGTCAGCAGTGCACAAGGCAAGGGGTGGCATCTCCTGCCGGACCGACTGTGGAAGCAGATCCACTGCTCTCGCAAACCAGGGGTCCAACAAGGTCGTAGCCTCGAGCGTGCGGAAAAACTCCTCAAACATCCGCTCCTCACCTGCCACCCCCAACCGAGCCACATCGCTCACTGCTTGGCACCAGCCACATGCATACGATAGAGGACTAAGGTCAGCCGCAGATCGAATGCCAAACCCTCCGAGTCTGGCAGGAAGGTGCAGCTGTAAACGAGCCATCTGAGACTTCCCCGAATCGTGATCCCAGGTACTATCTGGAAACAGCTCCTCGAAATAATCTTCTAGCTTCATATCCCAGTCCCGAAAAGCCTCCACAACCTCAGGTCGTGGAGGCATCGTCCGTGTGAGGTAAATCGGGCGCGCTGACACTGCGATCGCCAACAAATGGGACGCAATCTGTGGGTGGTCAAGCAGAGGAAGCCAAGGGACAGGTGCATGCAGCTCCGTCAGCCGGCGACGCAGGCTAGCCACCTCCCAGTCCTCCTCCCCAATGGGGACCCCTACCACAGTGAGCCCCGTCCATGTCTGCTGCATGCCGGGCGGGACGGTCTCATTTCCCTCCTCCCCATCCTGGTTCCTCCCTCGCTCCCATAGCTTACACTTATGCGGCTGCACCTCCAAACCCAGCCCGTCCAATCGTTCCCGCAAGGCCTCATAGGCTGCTAAAACCCGCTCCCTAGGCCTCAGGATATACGTATCATCAGCATAGCTGAGGAAGAGTAAGTCGGCGAACTCTGTTTTGGTTGGTTCCATAACCAGCTGCTGTGTGAACGCGAACAGAAACGGACCCAATGGGTCCCCTTGCCTCGAGCCCCGCTCGGAGGCCAAAGCTTCGACAAAAGGGCCCGCACGGAGATAGAGGTCGCTAGGAGTGCCATAGAAGACACGCAGAAATGGAATCAATCCCTTGAAAGGCGACTGTCGAAGACCTTCAAACATTTCCCGCCGATGGAAGGAGTTGAAAGCGTTCGCTACGTCAATTTGCAGCGCGCACCACGACGGGTGAGTAGAGATGGCGGAGCGAAAGGCATGTGCGAGGACTTCCACTCCCGACCTGGACCCAACTCCAAACTGGTTACACGGAGCAAAGTGCGACATCATCTTCGGACGAAGCACGATGCATATGGCTCGAGATAGTATGCGGGGGAGCACCTCGCCTATAGCCACCGAGCGAACGTCACCATTCGGCTTCAACAGGCCCACCAGGTTGGACGCAGTGAGCCAGGGTCGCACGCGCTCCGCTACCTCTCCTTTGGTCCACTGGGTGAAGGCCTCTAGCAGATGGGGCAGGTACGCGGGCTCAGAGAGAAAAGTTTCGCGCAGGTGCTCCGTCACCCACCCCGACGGTCCTGGTGCGGACGCCCTAGCCGCTGAGTGGATCGCCTGACCGAGTACCTCCACAGAGAGCTGTGGGATAAGGGAAGGCTCGACTGTCTCCTCCTGCACCCACCCAGGAATGGCGGTCTCGCACGATGGGTGTTTCGCTCGTAGCGCGTCCACCATGTGCTGAGAGGGCTGAGCGATGCTACCAGCGGTAAGACACGCCAAACCCCGACTCCATTCTCCCGCTTTGCACCTTGTACGGCAGCGGGACAGGCGCACTGCTTCAGGATCATGCTCGGGTGGGGTGAAGGACAAGGGGCGAGCCGCAGGTTGCATCGCCGCCACCGCCAACTCAAACAGCTGGTGCCACTCCCCAGCCCAAAACTTCTCCAACCGCTCCCTAATTGCCGCCCTCTGCCCTTGGCCTTGCCCAGTTGGAATCCCCAAGAAAAGACGAGGGAAGGCCAAAAACACCAAGGATGCCGCCTCGTCTGCTGCCTTTGACTGGAGCCGCTTCAGGATACAAGCTAGTGCATCAAGCACCCCCAGTCTTGCGCACTGTGGGATGCGACGCATGATTCTCCCTGGCACCAATTCGATCCCGAAAAACGACTCCCAGTCCCATGTGGGAACTGCGGCCCACACCTCTTCACTGATATCCCGTGGTGGCGGAGGTTCGCTGTCCGAGTCGTCTATGACGTCGCGGGTCAACCCAAGCGCCTGCGCACGACGCTGGGCGTCCGCTGCCCTGCAGGCCGACATATGACGCGTGGCCTTTCCTCTCTCCGTGAAAGTGCGATAACAGGTTTCGCACGGGATGCGGGGCGGGGGTGTCAGCATAGGGTCTGGGTGCTCCTCTCCACTCGAACACGCCGGCAAGACCTGTCTGCTCGACTCCATCTCCATCTCCCCCTCTGGCAGCCTCGCAAGCTGCAGCCAATCGGGCAGCTCCTGCTGCCCTCCGCTCTACAGCTGCTGCTGCCCTCCGCTCCGCAGTTGCTGCTGCCCTCCGCTCTGCAGCTGCTGCTGCCCTCCGCTCTGCAGCTGTTGCTGCCCTCCGCTCTGCAGCAGTTGCTGCTGCCCTCCGCTCTGCAACTGCTGCTGCCCTCCGCTCTGCAGCTGCTGCTGCCCTCCGCTCTGCGGCTGCCACTGCCCTCCGCTCTGCAGCTGCCCCTGCCCTCCGCTCTGCAGCTGCTGCTGCCCTCCGGTCTGCAGCTCCTGCTGCCCTCCGCTCTGCAGCTGCTGCTGCCCTCCGCTCTGCAACTCCTGCTGCCCTCCGCTCTGCAGCTGCTGCTGCCCTCCGCTCTGATTAGGCTGCTGCCCTCCGCTCTGCAGCTGCTGCTGCCCTCCGCTCTGCAGCTGCTGCTGCCCTCCGCTCTGCAGCTCCTGCTGCCCTCCGCTCTGCAGCTCCTGCTGCCCTTCGCTCTGATTGGGCTGAAGCCATCCGCTCTGCAGCTGCTGCTGCCCTCCGCTCTGATTGGGCTGAAGCCCTCCGCTCTGCAGCTGCTCCTGCCCTCCGCTCTGCAGCTGCCCCTGCCCTCCGCTCTGCAGCGGCTGCTGCCCTCCGCTCTGCAGCTCCTGCTGCCCTCCACTCTGCAGCTGCTGCTGCCCTCCGCTCTGCAACTCCTGCTGCCCTCCGCTCTGCAGCTGCTGCTGCCCTCCGCTCTGATTAGGCTGCTGCCCTCCGCTCTGCAGCTGCTGCTGCCCTCCGCTCTGCAGCTGCTGCTGCCCTCCGCTCTGCAGCTCCTGCTGCCCTCCGCTCTGATTGGGCTGAAGCCCTCCGCTCTGCAGCTGCTGCTGCCCTCCGCTCTGCAGCTGCTGCTGCCCTCCGCTCTGCAGCAGCTGCTGCCCTCCGCTCTGATTGGGCTGAAGCCCTCCGCTCTGCAGCTGCTGCTGCCCTCCGCTCTGCAGCTGCTGCTGCCCTCTGCTCTGCAGCTGCTGCTGCCCTCCGCTCTGCAGCTGCTGCTGCCCTCCGCTCTACAGCTGCTGCTGCCGTCCGCTCTGCAGCAGTTGCTGCTGCCCTCCGCTCTGCAGCTAATAAAACCAAATAAAGCGGAGATTTACATAAAACATCAAATGGACGCATAATATATCATAATGAAAAATAACAATACAAACAAATTCGTTCTTAATTTAACGCATGTTACAAGTGTTGCTTCGCAACCCTAAGACGATTTCATCGCCTCTTGTTTCTTTTTTTTTTTTCCGCATAGCAAACAAAACAATTTTCAGTGGAAGAACACTCATTTCCATTTCACAACCAGAATTGTAAATGACACATGGGTGTGGAATACGCACTGCGAGAATGCAACTGCTTTGGGAAGATTCAGGACGCGTCCCTTCTCTCGATCGATTGTAGGATCGCAGGATTGAGGCCCAAATGGGAGGAGCTGGCATAAGATTTGCAATCGCAGGCTGGTTACGAGCTTGGCGATAATCTCGAAGCGCAGCGATATCATGTCGCCCATATTTGTTTGTGACATCCAGGCTAATTGTACGACGTACGACGAAGTTACGACGTGACGGCGCGACAGATCGATCGTGGCTGTCGAGCGCGACCTCTCCCACGTTCGGTATTTGCACGTTGTGGCAATAATTGGTAAAAACGGAGGTGACGGGCTCGTCTGGCACTTGTTACTGCAGATTCGCCAACGAAGGCGAACAAGGGTAATCTTGTTGACAGCGAAGCTACAGTTGCACTGTAGGGGGACCGATTTTTTCCACAATTATTCGCGGGGAGGGGACGCGTCCTCAAGGGCCAATTTCTCGTCTACCAACAATCGTAGCTCCTTTGCTGGGCGATCAGTTTTTGCTCCAACAAACCCCAAAACCCCGGCACCAGAAACCCGTTTCTTTGCTTTGCTCGTTTTCTTGCCTTCCTCCCAATTGTTTCTGCTTGCATTATCTATTAGCCGGCTATTTGCGGGATCCACTAAGCTTAGGAAACAGGTCTTTAATGGCGCGAGTTAAAGTTACTGCTGAGAAGAAGGGCAAGAAGAGAAAGGAGGCGGTGGTCGATGGGGTGGAGAAGACCAAGAAGGCTAAAAAAGAAAGAAAAGAAAGGGATGCTAATAAGGAGAGTTTATCTCTCTTGGCTGTCCCGCGCCAAGTGCAGCTGAAGGTGAAGAAGGGCAAGGTTGAGGAGGAGGCGAAGATTGCTGCGAAGAAAGCGAACGAAACGAAGGAGGTCAAGGCGAAGAAGGAGAAGAAGAGAAAGAAGGGGACGGAGACCGCGGAGATTATAGAGAAGAAAGAAAAGAAGGAGACGAAAGAAGTTAAGAAGGGGAAAAAGGGTGAGGAGACGACGGAAGTAACAAAAAGGACAGGAAATAGAGAGACGACGGAAGAGATGAAGGGTAACAAGAGGGAGAAGCGGGAGTTGAAGGAGGCAAAGCAAGTGGTAGTGAAAAAGAAGGTTAAAGACGTGAAAACGGAGAAGAAGGGAGCGACGGACGGGGAGAAGGGGAAGAAGGAGGAGAAGGGGAAGAAGAAGGAGAAGGGGAAGAAGAAGGAGAAGGGGAAGAAGAAGGAGAAGGGGAAAGAGGGAGAGAAGACCGGCAAGAAGGGGAAGAAGGGCAAAGAGGAGGTGAAGGAGGAAATTAGTGATGAGGAGATGGAGGAGGCGAGTGAGGAAAAGAGTGAGGAAGAGAGTGTGAAAGAGAGTGAGGAGGAGAGTGAGGAGGAGGAGGAGGAGGAGGAGGAGGAGGAGGAGGAGGAGGAGGAGGAGGAGGAGGAGGAGGAGGAGGAGGAGGAGGAGGAGAGTGAAGAGAAGGAAGAGGAAGATAAGAAAGTTGTAAAGGAGGTCGCAGCGAAGGAGGAGCGCAATGAGGAGGAGGAGAGTAGTGATGAGGAGGAGGACAGTGAGGAGGAGGAAGAGGAAAAGAGTAAATTAGTGAAAAAGGAGATCAGTGAGGAGGAGGAGGATAGTGAAGAGGAGAAGGAGAGTGAGGAGGAGGAAGAGAGTGAGGAGGAGGAAGAGGAAGAGAAGAAAGTTGTAAAGGAGGTAGCGGCGAAGGAGAGCAGTGAGGAGGAGGAGGAGAGTAGTGATGAGGAGGAAGAGGAGGAGGAGGAGAGTGAGGAGGAGGAAGAGGAAGAGAAGAAATTAGTGAAAAAGGAGGAGAGCAGTGAGGAGGAGGAGAGTAGTGATAAGGAGGAGGTGGAGGATGAGGAGGAGAGTGAGGAGGAAGAGGAAGAGGAAGAGAAGAAATTAGTGAAAAAGGAGGAGAGCAGTGAGGAGGAGGAGAGTAGTGATAAGGAGGAGGTGGAGGATGAGGAGGAGAGTGAGGAGGAGGAAGAGAGTGAGGAGGAAGAAGAGAAGAAAGTAGTGAAAAAAGAGGAGAGCAGTCCGGAGGAGGAGAGCAGTGATGAGGAGGAAGAGGAGGAGGAGGAGAGCGAGGAGGAGGAGGAAGAGGAAGAGGAAGAGGAAGAGACGACGAAAGTAGCAAAAAAGGAAGAGGAGAGTAGTGATGAGGAGCAGGAGAGCGAGGAGGAAAAGAAAGTCGTGAAAAAAGAGGAAAGCAGCGAGGAAGAGAGTAGTGGAGGTGACAAGAGTGAGGAGGAGGAAGAAAACGCGAAGAAGTTAAATGTGAAGGAGACCAAGAAGAGGGAGGGGGGACAGCAGCAGCAGAAGGAGCAGCAGAAGGAGCAGCAGAAACAGCAGGAGGAGCAGCAGCAGCAGATTGTATGGCAGGCGACGCCTGGCAAGGTACTGGGTGGGCGGCAGTGCTTGGAATATCTCGTGTAGTTGGCTTTTATCAGGGTAACATGTGCTGTGGTAGATGTAGCAAGAGTGCGTGCTGAGAGTTCTCCTGCTTGATGACGTCTCATACTTTGGCATGGAACATTGATGGTGCACATGTGATGTGACCCTGAGAGTAGGCTTGAGCATATGGCCCGGTCGGCCCGACCCAAACCGGGATTTTTCCCGGGTCGGGTCAGGGCCTTCGTAGTCCGGACCCGGTCGGGTCGAGTCGGGTTGGCCCGGGCAAAAAAACCGACCCGACAACGAAATCGAGTCGGGTTTCCGACCCAAGGTGACTCGACTCGATATCGGGTCAGGAAACAGGGTAACCCCACTCGACCCGACCTGACTCGACTGGGGATGGGGTGAAACCCTAGTCGATCGATATCGCGGGGTCATTTTTTCCCCCGCGACATCCAGATCGACATTTCAGCAGATAGGGAAAGCTAAAACTAGTATTTAGGGCCATAGTAGCTACTTGTTTACCACAATCGCGCTACGTAAGGTTATTTACTACCGTCGACATTCGCCATTTATCGAACTCGCGATTCGTTTGACGATTTCCGGGCGATTAGGGTAAAAAGTTGAAATTTCCAGCAGTGACAACTTTCAATCGTAACGGTACGCCTCGTCATGTGCCAGTGTGGTGGTTCAGGGGTAGGGCGGAGGGGAAGGGAGGCCACGAGTGGTAAGGAGTGGAGAGGCGGCCAGGTCCAAGGGTGTGGGAAGGGAAAGGGCGGCCCCTAGAGGGAGGGACTAACCCCGACCCGGCCCAACCTCTGACCCGATCCGACCCGGGTACGGGTCAGCCTGGCTCGACCTTGTAAGGCCGGGTCGGGTCAGGGACTATTCAACTCTGACCTGGGTTCCGACCCGACCCGACCTGGAAACCGGCCTGGCCCGGCCTAGTCCGGTCGGGTCGGGTCGGGTCGGATCGGGCCCTATGCTCTTGCCTACCTGAGAGCTCTCCTGCTGCCTGTTATGAGTCATGTTTTGAGTCGACTCAAAACACGCCTTATTCTATCATGGAACATTGATGGTGCACATGTGGCCCTCAGAGCTCTCCTGCTGCCTGTTGTCCTCTTGCTGTTCAAGACCTGCTTGATGACGTCTCATACTCTAGCATGGTCCACAAGTTTTGAAATGTCTCATAGCATGGTACATTGACGTCAAAATCACCTCGCGGGGAGCAAGAGGGCCTTTGACACCAGCTCTTCAGCAGTCCACTCTTCTTCCCATCGACACCCGATACCTACCCATGCAATCTTTTGAGACGTCTCAAAAATCTTTTGAGACGTCTCACAAGAGGGTCTTTGACACCAGCTCTTCAGCATTCCACTCTTCAGCATTCCACTCTTCCCGTCGACACCCAATACCTACCCATGCAGTCCCATCCTATACTCCTCGCGCTCTACCCCCCACCCAGCTCGCAGGCAGCAAGAGGAGCTTTGATGCTGTATCGCCGGGATCAGGCAGCAAGCAGGGCAGCATTGCAAGAACCGCACTCCATGCCCCAGATTGTGTGCCCCAGATTGTGTGCCCCAGATTGTGTGCCCCAGATTGTGTGCCCCAGATTGTGTGCCCCAGATTGTGTGCCCCAGATTGTGTGCCCCAGATTGTGTGCCCCAGATTGTGTGCCCCACCCCACCCCACCCCATGCTCTATTCCCATGCCGCTTCCACTCCCCCCTCTACACCCCCTACCCAGCTCGCGGGCAGCAAGAGGGCCTTTGACGCTATCTCCCCGGGATCAGTCAGCAAGCCGGGCAGCGCTGCAAGAGCGTTCCAGAGAGTGAAGGTGGAGGAGGTGAGTGCGAAGCTTGCTAGCCTATGTTTGAGGCGCCTATACGGTTTGATGCTATCTCCCCGGGATCAGGCAGCAAGCCGGGCAGCGCTGCAAGAGCGTTCCAGAGAGTGAAGGTGGAGGAGGTGAGTGCGAAGCTTGGTAGCCTATGTTTGAGGCGCCTATACGGTTTGATGCTGTCTCCCCGGGATCAGTCAGCAAGCCGGGCAGCGCTGCAAGAGCGTTCCAGAGAGTGAAGGTGGAGGAGGTGAGTGAGAGGCTTCCTTGTCCTTTCCAGTGAATCCGAATAGAGCACCACCACTCCTCGCTGGCACTCTGCATGCTGTTCGGGCTAAGTCCAGTCCTAAGTTGCGGAAGACGCAAGACGCACATTTAGACGCAAGACGCTTGGCCAAAAAAATTTCGGGCAGCCCGAAAAAAAAAATCCCCGCGCGCGAAATTGAATTTCGCCATTTCGACGCGAAATTCAATTTCGCGCCATTCAAACCCCTCCCCACCCATTTCGACCACATAAGCCAGCCCCCCAAGCAAATTTGAATCCCCCCCAACCAAAATTGAACACATACCACACTTCACCGCATATTATCTAGAAAACCCAACCTCTATGGTTAACCAGGAGGAGCTGGAGAAGGAAGGGGAGGAGGAGGAGGAGGAGGAGGATGAGGAGGAGGATGAGTAGGAGGAGAGCTAGGAGGCGTAGTGATTGCAGAGAGATGTAGTAGTAGTAATGGTCTTCGAGGTTGCTACTACTAGAGAGACATGGAAACTTATCTATATATGATGATATGTGAACTTTTTTGTGAAGTCTAAAAATGGGGAAAAAAATATGGCACGGGGAAAAATGCACCCCATTGTGACATAGGTGCATGTTCCCCACCCTCCCCATCCCCCTTAGAACTTTTTTTGGTCTGCCCAAACAATTTTTTTAGGCCTGCCCGGGTTTTCGTCTAATACTGCGTCTAATCCATGCTGCCTAGCGTCTAGCGTCTTAGACGCTGCGTCTAGACGGACGCGTCTAAGACGCTAGACGCGTCTTCCGCAACTTAGGTCCAGTCCAGAGGCACTCCTTAGCACCACTCCTCACTGGCACTCACTCTGCATGCTCTTCGGGCTAAGTCCAGTCCAGAGGCACTCCTTAGCACCACCCCTCACTGGCACTCCACCCTGTCTTGTATCAAGCACTCATCACTCCTTGGCTTCTCTCCCCGAACCTGCGCGCCTGTGCCCAACACCCCTACAACCTGCTCCCCCCCTCAGGTGCAATTCAAAGATCCCCGGCTCATGGATAACTCATACTGGGCCAAGGTGAGTGGGGCTGGGGCAACATGGGGGTTACCACCCTACATGGGGGGATGTGGCATGGGTGTTGGGGGGGCATGGAGGGATGGGACATGGGTGTTGGCTCAGGTGCAATTCAAGGGCCCTTGGCTCATGGATAACTCAGACTGGGCTAAGATGAGAGGCTTGGGATGGGACTCAGCACGCCTGGATGTTCCATGACATTACGGCGTGCTGAGGAGAGCTAATTACATGCTGTCTGTCTGTCTGTCTGTCTGTCTGTCTGTCTGTCTGTCTGTCTGTCTGTCTGTCTGTCTGTCTGTCTGTCTGTCTGTCTGTCTGTCTGTCTGTCTGTCTGTCTGTCTGTCTGTCTGTCTGTCTGTCTGTCTGTCTGTCTGTCTGTCATTCTCCAGCGAGCAGCAAATTAGACGAGACTGCTGGGATGAGCTAATTGCATTCTTTAGGTGCTTTCTTGTATGTGCCTATTCCCTCCCATGACACGTGTCCTTCCCATTCGCGATGTGTCCTCCCCATACCCCGCTTTGCTCATCCGCCTTTGCTGCCTCCCATCCTTTATGCCCATGCCATGTGTCCCTCCCATGCCACGTGTACTTGTGCCAATCAGAGCGGGGCGGGCAGTGGATGGGGTGCCAAGGCGCAGGAGGTGCTGGGCCAAGTCAGGGGCAGGTGAGAACAGCAGAGACATGGCAGGTGAAAAACAACAGTATTCTACTCATTGTTGTCTTGTATCACAGGGCTATTGTCGTGTACTGCTGTGCTTTCAATTGTCTTGTTTCGCCAAAACACGAAATGCATGTAACTGTGTCATAATGCACACTGCTTCTTGTTCTTGATGTTCCCATATTCGCGGCACCTGTAACATGTGGTTACTGCAGGGGTTTCCGCCATGAGAAGACGAAGAAGAAGAGGGGCAGCTACAGGGGTGGTATTATCGACCAGGAAAGCCATTCCATCAAGTTTGCTGATTCCGATGACGAGTAATTGCTGCATGCGATGCTGTGGAACATACGGTATTTGGACCAAAAATATGGTTATTGCATCAGGGATGGGTGGAGCACAGGGTGTAATAAATGTGTTCCCTTAGGTTAACTTCTTCGAACATTGAATGACGTTGATGTGTTAGATTGTCTAACAATATCATTTGCGTGGTTGAGAGGCAACCCATGGTCATTATTTGCCTTGCTAATACTGTATGGCCCCGGATATACCGTCATCGCCCGGATATAAGACATATGGGTCTTATCCGATATCGGTTCAAAAACTGGCGATTTATCTTGTAAAAGGAAGGTAATGGGTATCTTATAAATCTTATAAACGGGAAACTTTTAAGATAAACAATTTCTCTCATACTACTGTATAAACTCCCACGAACCAGTCTTCCACACAGAAACCAATGCTGGGACGACTCCGGCATTTCTGGATACGCTACATCACGAGAAAAATCTGCTGACGCAGCATGTGACTCAGATACACCATCATCTGAGCCATCATGTGAATGAATTCACGCGCGCTCAGGCAAAAACGTACGCGATATGACCTGATTCAACATGAAGTTTTTATATTTCGTTTATAAGACATGTCTTATCCCATATCGGTAATGTGGTCTCCTATAAAAGGAACTTCCGTTTATAAGAAAACACCCGTATTAAAGACACCCATGTCTTCAATTCAACACTATCTTCTATCCGGGTGATGACGGTAGGCGCCATCCGATTAAAGGCGCCGGCGCTTCTATCTGGAGCATGGCGCTTATTGCCGGAACTCGATTATAAGCGCCCCCTTTGTAAACCCCTGACTTATTATCGTCATACCCCGGATAGAAGCGCCCCTGGGGTTGTAATAAAACAAGGTTTTTTAGGGGTGCGCTTATAATTGAGGAAATTTATAAGCGCCGGCGTTTATGTAACGGCAAAATGAAATTAAGTCTTTTTTTAACACCAAACTGTAGATCTCGTTCTGCCAATTGTACCGTATTCCCCCGGATAAAACACCCGGGGGTATTATGATAACCACTGGGAAAAAATGGGGGGGGTCTCCTCAACGGAAAAAAATATATAATACCCGGGTGGTTATATATGGCACTTTTTAGTGTAAGAAAAAAAATTAATTAGACAATTTGGGTGTTTCAATAGTTGTTATAACCAGGGCTAACTTTAGTGCCAGGGCCCGTCTGACGTTAAGACCGGGTCCTGGCTCCTTGTCTGATGTTCAGACGAAAGTTGTAGCTCCGTCTTACGTTTCAGACGAATTTCAAGTACTTGTCAGAGCTGTCAGACGAATATGCCAAACGAATTGGCAAGATTCGTGCCAGCGGGGTGAATACGGCGCAGTGACGTGCGGTGTTGTCACCCACCAGGGTAACGAGGCGGGTGGCAAGTCTCGTCCGTAACATTGGGCAACAAGCCATGTGGCCAACTAGCCGGGTGGACAACTGGCCATGTGGGGGAATTTGTCAGTTTCAGACGGGAAACAACTCGATGTTTGCAGTCTCAGACGAACCGTATAAGGCTGTCTGAGAAATCAGACAAATAAAAAAGGTTCTCTTAAAAATCAGACGAAATTATTCAGCATGTCTACGGCATCAGACGAACCAGTAAAAATGTGTTCAAAATCAAGAAATTCAGACCAAAAATTTCTGATAAAGTAAGCCCTGGTTATAACATCACAGGTTGAGGCGAGAATGTGGGTTTCACCTCTCGGGCCACGTGCAGCGGAAGATTCGCCAGCGTGGCGACAGCGAGATTGTGGGAGGGAGGGAATCTCGGTAGATTCGAAGTGAAAGTGCACGCGAAATTTCATTCAGGGAGCGATTTTCGTCATATCCTCCCGTAAAAAATCTGACTCGATAATAGCTATAATAGGGTTTCGTAAGAAAAGGGGGGTGTTATAGAGGATCACCCCAAAAGGGGGGGTATAGTACCAACGGGGTCAAATATAACACCCCTCCCGCACAAGCTACCCGGGGGTGTACAATTCGGGGTGGGTGTTTTATCCGGGGGAATACGGTAAGCGAGTCGAAAATATATGGGGTCGCGAATTTGACTCTCGACCAACTTGGCAGGGATTGATTCCTTGCCAACACATGCTGACTAAGCGACAGCACGTGCTGACTAGATGCGCAGCAAGTGTGATTTGAGTAGGAAAGTGGAGCTGTACTTCGCTTCCCTGGTAAGGTGAAATTCGTTTATGTGTTTCGACTGATTTTCAGATAATATTCGACATGCGCTTATAATAAATCATATTTTTTTAGGGGGTGCGCTTATAATCGAGGACCGGATATAAGCGCCCTCATCCCTTTATAAGCGTCGGCGCTTATCCGAGGCCTGCGCTTCTATCCGGGGTATGACGGTATAAGCGCATGCATGATTTTATTTTTCCAATCCAGATGAAAACGGTAGCGAATCTCAACTTCCAAGCGAGTCAGCACCGATTTTCACCTTGTTTGACTTTCGAGGTCCTGACTGGTTGCGCGTCCAGTCAGGATGAGGTGGCACGCAGGCAAATTGACGTGCCAAATGCGGTGTGGAGAAAGCTGGTGACGATTGGGTTTGATGCAAATGCAAAGAGTCCCTAAATGGGCGTTCGTCGGATTGGGTAAGGTGCAGAAAGTCCGAGTGGGTGGAGCACAAGGACTTGGTCCAAGAAAGCACTTGGTCCAAGAAAGCACTTGGTCCAAGCAAGCACTTGGTCCAAGCAAGCACTTGGTTCAAGCAGGCACTTGGTCCAAGCAAGCACTTGGTCCAAGCAAGCACTTGGTCCAAGCAAGCACTTGGTCCACGAAAGCACTTGGTCCAAGCAAGCACTTGGTCCAAGCAGGCACTTGGTCCAAGTAAGCACTTGGTCCAACAAAGCACTTGGTCCAAGCAAGCACTTGGTCAAAGCAAGCACTTGGTCGAAGCAAGCACTTGCTCCAAGCGAGCACTCGGTCCAAGCAATCACTTGGTTCAAGCAGGCACTTGGTCCAAGCAAGCACTTGGTCAAAGAAAGCACTTGGTCGAAGCAAGCACTTGCTCCAAGCGAGCACTCGGCCCAAGCAATCACTTGGTTCAAGAAAGCACTTGGTCCAAGAAAGCACTTGGTCAAAGCAAGCACTTGGTCCAAGCAAGCACTTGGTCCAAGCAAGCACTCGGTCCAAGCAAGCACTTGGTCCAAGAAAGCACTTGGTCCAAGCAAGCACTTGGTCCAAGCAGGCACTTGGTCCAAGCAAGCACTTGGTCCAAGCAGGCACTTGGTCCAAGAAAGCACTTGGTTCAAGCAGGCACTTGGTCCAAGCAAGCACTTGGTCCAAGCAAGCACTTGGTCCACGAAAGCACTTGGTCCAAGCAAGCACTTGGTCCAAGCAGGCACTTGGTCCAAGTAAGCACTTGGTCCAACAAAGCACTTGGTCCAAGCAAGCACTTGGTAGCGTCAGGGAATCGCTTTCGCGCGATTCTGATCCAGGACGCTATAAAATTTCGATTCGATTGAACTTACGAGACAGAAATGTACATTATGGTGCGTTTAAGTTGTATTTCTATATTTGTCATTATATAAGCGCCGGCGCTTATGGCCGATACTCAATTAAAAGCGCCCCCCCCCCCCCCCCCCCCCCCCCCCCCCAAAAAAAAAAAACGGATTTTATTATAAGCGCATATGCGCTTCTATCCGGGGTAATACGGTAATCAGCTCAGTGTTGCTCAGTGTTATCTCGTGCTTCTTCTGTTACCTGTACATTGTAGATGCCTACAATCATTCAAGTCATTGGAAACACTACAGTATTTCCACCAACCCTAAGGTGCGTATCTGCTTGAGTAACCACACATCTTTGTGTACACTGGAGCCAACAAGATGATTGTCTTGAATTCACTCCGAACTGAACACACAATCAACAAGAGGTACAGTTTGTTCCACATAGTGTCTCACCACTCACACCATACCACCCTTTCACAGCCATACAGCTGTCAGAATGTTGTATTTGTCTAGCCTGCAGTGGGGTACTCTATAGCGAGTACAGCCCAATCTAGGGTTTCCTATATGTACTGAACTGCTTGCTAGTGCAACTCCTCCTCTTTGCCTAAACTCTCTCTTGCCTAGCTAGGGTTCTCCTAGCTATGGCTCCTAATTCTAGCTACTATCTTAACATGGTGTCAGAGCGGTTACGCTCATGGCCTGTGGGCCCCACCCGATGCTTCCGCTGCTTTCCTATCCGTCGCGCGCCACGGGGCGCGCGACGCCTTATTTTCTTCCCGCCGCGCGCTCGGGGCGCGCGGCGGTTTTCAACCCCGTCGGCCTGCGCGTCGCCCCCCCCCACCCCGCATTCCCCATCGCGGCGCCCTGGGGAGCCGCGCGCGGCCCCCCGCTGCCCCGTCGCGGCGCCCTGGGGAGCCGCGCGCGGCCCCCGTTTCCCCGTCGCGGTGCCCTGGGGAGCCGCGCGCAGCCCCCCGCTGCCCCGTCGCCACGTCCTGGGGAGCCGCGCGCGGCCCCCGTTTCCCCGTCGCGGCGCCCTGGGGAACCGCGCGCGGCCCCCCGCTAACTCGTCGCGGCGTCCAGGGGAGCCGCGCGCCGCCCCCGAGGACGCGCGCGCCCGTCCCCCTGGACCCGCGCGCCCCTCCCCTGGACCCGCGCGCCACCCCCGGGGACCCCTGCACTCGCCCCCGTCGTGCCACGCGCCTTCCCCCGCGCTCCTA